TCAACTTTTAAAATACATTTACAATTAAATAACTAATTGAAGGAAACAAATCAAAAGTCAGGGAATATTAGTCACTTAATGTCTAAGTATGTAAAATTACAAAGAATTAAAGGGTTATATTAGTGCAAGTGATATTAAAATACCTACGTTAACTGTTTAATATTTATGGATTGTCCGAACCTATATTATTAATTATTAATATATCAATATTATTTGTCCAAACCTAATTACGAAGCATGATTCTTTGCCAAGTAGGATTCCGAAGCACCAGAAGCAACCATATAGGCTCAGCGCATTCGAGAATAATATATATGGAGGATTTTGGTCAGTTTCTGAAAATGGTCATCATACAGGGCGTCTCTAATAACGTCCACTAAGTTGTCATTTTAATCAAAACTCGTACAAAAGTCAACATAGTGTACTAAATATGACAACTAAAGTTTTAGTGCACTATGTTGTTGGCTATTGTAAGAATTTTGATTAAATTAGCAACTTAGTGGACTATTCTTGATGACGCCCTAACTGAATTTTTCAGAAAATGATCAACATAGTAATTTTGCCCAAAGTTTTCCGTTTATTTGGAATTAATAAATTAAGAATGAGTGTGACCTGGTCTTGTAAGTGACTGGTGTTGGATTGCCACCAGATTAGACCGCTCATGATAGCCCCGACGAGTACCTCCATCACCTTGAGGATAGAAAATGAGTCGTGCTTTCTTTCTTTGATCCCTCTACTGAAAAGCACCGAGAATTGTAACCACCAACTGTTAGGCCACCGCATACTCGGTTGCTTATCATGTTGTCGGAAATTTAATCGTGTGCCTTCATCCGCAAAATTATGTATTTTCAATTTCACATTACTTGATAAATTTGTCGCGTAAGCCGCCACCAATGTCTTTTGAATCTCAGCTCGATCCTCGGCTGAGTCCACAGTCTAAACAACACCTAATGGGAAACGAGAAAGTAATCTAAATCTAACCATTAATTCAAATAAAAAGTCTAATCATTATTTAGAAAAGTAAAGAAATGACTACCGTCACATAATCATTCTGTGGATTATTTGCTCTTCACTAATCTACTAGTCTACTTGTGTGTTTAAAGACTAATAATAACCAGACGAGGTCATTTCGAAAGGTAAAACTTACCATTAGCAAGATCCAACAAGAAGTCAGCGGGATTCATGGGGACCGACGGGGTCAACCCCATTCCTGAGAAATAACCAAGCGCGCCCGACCCTTGCCCGAAGAACAGAGGACTCCCATCGCACAACAGAAGGATCTTATCAAACGGGAAAAGATCAAAACTAGTCCCACAGGTATACGGGGTGACAATTTTGGTCGCAACGGAATGCAGAAAATATGAATAGTCCCACAACTTTTTAAAAATGGTCAAAAGTAGGACTTTTTTGCGGGATTTACTATTTTCGGCCCGGAACGCCACGCCGCGCGCATGTGGCTCATTTTTTTACACGACCTGTGGGACTATTTATATTTTTATGCATACCTGTGGGACCAAAAATGCTACACCCCCTATACCTGTGGGATTAGTTTTGAATTTTTTCATATCTACGTCATATGCCAGCGTGTAAGGAAATAAGCCACATGTGCGCCATGCGGCGTTCTGGGCCGAAAATAATGATTCCGGCAAAAATGTCCTACTTTTGATCATTTTTAAAAAGCTGTGGGACTATTTATATTTTCTGCATTTTGTTGGGACCAAATTGTCGAACCGGCCAGTCCGATCTGGTTTTGATAACCTTGTTTGCAAATTAAATTACACCCTGAAAATGACACACTACCATTTTATAGTTTTTTTTTTCTAACGATAGATATTATATCACAAAACACAAATTACAAGCACAAGAACTCGCTGAAAAAGCCAACCAAATAGTTGAAAATGAGAGAGGTACACAGAGTGTAGTCTAGAGCAGTGTTTGTAGTATTTTTGGGCATGTGGTAACCGAGCTACCCGACTCGGGTCGTTCTCAAAGGAAGGCTCTTCGGAGCTTCGTTCGCTACCTAGTCTTCAAAGTCACACAACCAAAAAGATCCTAAACATTCTACTCGCAATTTGAGGGTTTGAATTTAAACTAGATTAATCTACGAAATGAGAGCAATTGAAAGCAATTAACTAAGCACGCAAGAAGATGAGAGAAATCAAGGGGGAAAGAGAGATTTTGGTTTGTCGGAGTCTCCATGATCAATCACACGCAAATAACCGCACATTGTCATGCTAGCTAAAACCCTAGGAAGCTAAACCAAGCTCTAGCACAAAACGAGCAAGCATTTAACTCCTAATCACACTTAGTCAAACATTCTCGATTCAAAGATTCAATCTTTTCCTCCTACCAACACAAGCACAATATCAATTTTCACGAAAGCAAACAAAGATATACGAAGTAATGAGGCTTAAGACTAAGTACCCACTCTTACACGCACTTGGAAGTAGAAACGGAGTCAAAAGCTCGAAACTTTACTCGAAACAATGTCGCCGGAAGTTCGCCGGAAAACTTGATTCATAAGCTCCAAACCAAAGCATAAAAAGGAAAAAGAGAAAATAGAGAGGAATTCCCAACTTAAAAGTTGGGAAAATGAGGGTTGTCCCTCAAAATACAAAGCACAATGTCTATTTATAGCTACACCACAAACACACACTAAAAACACACACATT